TCATAAAATACTTTTAAACTAAACTCAAGGTCTATGGAATGACAATTGCGCTCTCTCCTGGTTTGCCTCACATCTACATAAGAGAATACAATATGTTAGAGTCAATAAAATATTGTCTGAGGGATTTTGTGCTTTGTCAGGTGTGCCACAGGGATCTCATTTGGGCCCTCTTCTTTTTATAATTTTAATAAATGACTTACAAAACAATATTAATCATAGTAAATTTTATGTTATGCAGACGATTTTAAATTATTCTCTACTATTTCATTTATAGTATCGGCCACTGATTTGCAGGAGGACATTGAGGGAGTCCTGACATGGTCCAAGAAGAATAATTTACCCATAAACGAAAATAAGTGTTCGGTGATAACTTTTACTAAAAAAAGAAAAAACATTAGATTTTATTATAACTTAAATTCAAAATTGCTAACTCGAGTTTCTAGTTTAAAAGATTTGGGTGTAGTGTTTGACACCACATTAAGTTTCACTGAGCACTTAAATATTACAGTTAACAAGTCTTTGAGAGTTTTGGGACAAGTTATTAGATCATCTCATGACTTCCATAATTTTCTAGTCCTAAAAACTCTTTACTTTAGCCTAGTTAGGCCAATTCTAGAATTTGCGTCTATCATTAAGAACACCATATTATGAATGTAACAGGGTAAAACTGGAGAGAGTTCAGAATCGATATCTCAGATTTATGGCACACCAGCTTAATGTACAATATGATAAATTCTCCCATGACTATAGTGGACTGCGTGCAGTATTTAAAATGCCATCAATTAGACATAGATTTTTGCAGACTGATTTGCAGTTTTTGTATTCAATTATCAACAATAAAATAGACTCTTCCTCAATCTTATCTCTTATTTCTTTATCAGCGCCAGTAATTTGCACCAGAAGTGTCACCACCTTCCGAGTACTTTTCCATAGAACAAATTATGGCGAAAACTGTCCGCTTTCGCGTGTTTTTGCAAAGAGGCGAACTTACACAAAAAAATTGATTTTTTTAATAATTCTAAAAGCGTCTTCGGTAGACAGTTAGCGTTATCGCTAAAAGAGTTGTTTAGAATTTCTGTGTGTGGTGTGTTCGTTTAACTTCAAAATAAAATGTTAAAATTTATTATACTTAAGTTAAATACTAATTATCATTTTATTGTAATAAAGGGTGATTACCAGTTAAATATTTCAAATAAATAAATAAATATAAATTGTCTGAAATAATACAATAATACAAGTACTTGTACCTACATGAACCCGTACAAGATCATATACATTTTCTTGTACTAGTTTTTTTTTCTTGTACAAGTACTTGTACATTTTCTTGTACAAGTTCCAATAAAAGAACTTGTTTCAAATCCGTATACAAGAAATTGTACATTTTCTTGTACAAGTTCAGCTGCTGAACGTGTGCATTTTCTTGTGCAAGATCTTATACAGGGATTTTCAGTAGGGAGAACATACTTTTTTAACGGACGTTTACTTTTAAACACCCATTAAATATAAATAAGTATTCACTCTTGGCATTTAATACTTATTAAATTATTAAAAAAGCAGAAAAGAGAAAATGAAGAATAATTTTAATATAAAACATATATTTTTAAACGCTATTTTAAAATCTTTTGAAAAAAGAATTTTAAATTGATTTCTCGAATTATAAATATCAGTATAAGTAAAAAGTATTTTAAGGTCTACTTAAGTATCTTACTCTAAAGCAGGGTTCGAACCAGTGAAAGTAATTAAAAATACGGACTTTGCGGACAAAAAATATAACCAGTCCGAGTCTTATAAGAGAACATTTTACTTAAAACTATAAAATAAATTTTTCATAACTATAAAACATGAAAATATCGATAACTTTAACATGATCGATTTCTGCATGTTTTATAATAATTAAAGATGACCAAATGATAAAATCATTATCAATTACACTATTATTTTCAAGAATTTTTAACTAAAATTCTTCTTTAAATCCATTTATTTACAATATTCAATTTTACGAAATTTCAATTATTCGTAAATTCTTCAATTAAAATATATATTAGAAAATAAAAACTTAAAATAATATAAAAATAATTCAATTAAACTTTTTCAAAAAAATTAATTTCAAAATTCAATTATTTCTAAATATTCACGCTATATTGTTTTTAAAATTCAATTAAAATTTAAAATTTGAACTGAAATCCATTTTTAAATCACTGTTTATAAGAAAATTCTATTAGAATTCAAATATTTAAATACAAAAATAAAAATTTATTGAATAATTGCAAGTTTCTTAAAATTGAATTCGATTAAATTTGTATTAAAAATAATTGAAATTCTGCAATGAGTTTTATTATTTATGCAAATAATTGAATTCCTAATAAGAATTTTATTATTTACGAAAATAATTGAATGATTGCGAAGAAATTTATAAAAAAATTTGTAAATAATGAAATTCCTGTTAAATTTTTATAATTTTTTGAAAATAATTAAAAGTTTGTGTACCTAGAATTTTAGTAAATTTTTTTTAATTCTTTTGGAAAATTTTATAAAAATAATAGATATTGAAAATCCTTGAATTTTTAAAATTTTTTGAAAATAATTGAATTTTGGAGAAGAATTTAATTTTTTTTAAGATAATTGAAATTTTGATGAGAATTTTTAAAAATTTTTTAACATAATTGAATTTTTGCGAAGAATTTTATTACTTTTGAAAATATTTGAATTTCTGCAATCATTTGTAATTTATCTAAAATTATCCAAATTATATCGTACAATTTACGAAATTTTCGTCCTTTTTTAATCAAATTACGGACTTTATGGACCTTTTTTAAAAAAAACAGATATTCACGGACTTCAAGCAAAGTTACGGACTTTTACGCGATTTACGGTCCTAGTTCGATCCCTACTAAAGCCGAAAAAAAGGTGGTTTTTGTTAATTTTTTCAGAGTATTTATAAAGTCAATTAACATTTGAACATGAGGTGTTTATTAATTATTATTGTTAATTAATTGTTGTCACTAATTATTTTGTACCGGTTGACATTTTTTGTTTTACTAGACGCATCTCACTTTAATAAATATTCACTGAGAAAACATTATACTTGATTCAAATAGAAATATAATTTTCAGTGATTTTGTTTAATTGAAATTAGTTTGTAAGCTTAGTCTCAATATATAGAAAAAATCTACTGCTTTGATTCAAAAATATTATTTGTTTGAATAATTATGGTTAATTTAAATATATTTTCAGTGTGGATTTAAACAAAAATTATGTTTGAAAACTTTATGTTTGATTCAAACTTAAAAGTTGATTATAAATAATTTAAAATTAACTATAACTTATGTTTGAATTAAATATATTATTTCTTTAAATGAACCAAAAAATATTTTTTAATTAAACTTAAATAGGTTTGACTGTATAGCAAAGATATTTTAAGTTTGATTTAAACAAAATATGTTTTAATCAAATAAATCGTTTTCTCAGTGATTGTTTCAATCTTCATTCAATAGAAAAAAACTTCTGAACCCGTGTGGAAATAGCCCGAGGTCGTCCGTATAGAAGTCGGTTGCTGGTCAGGGGCTATAAGGACTAATTTTTCACATAAAAGGAATGTCAGATCTGGTAGGGGACAAGTTGGGCTCAGTTTTTTGAAAGTCTTACTAGGAAATACATGAATTCTGGACAGTTTAGGTTCAACATAAAAAGTTTAAAATTATTATCTTGACATAAAAGTAATATTTCTAAATCCAAAAATTTATTTCTTTATATTAATAAAGTTTTGCCTGCCGCTGAATCTGCATCTTTAGTTGAAATTGGAAATTTTTTATTTCGGCTTCAAAATAACAAACAAAAATTTTAAGTAATCGAATTTGACGAAATTACTTACTCACAAATTTTCAAAATTGCTAAAATCAAATTTTTCAACAAAATTAAAAAATTTGAAAATTTTGACATGAAAATGGCTACAAAAAATTCATAAATTAAAAAATCTATCTGAAACTACTAACTCGTATATTTCAAAGTCGATGAATCCGAATTTGTGAACAACATTTAAAATTTTTAAAACAGTGGCTTCCAATAAATGAAAAAAAATTAAAGTTAATAAATTTGGATAAGAAATGACCATTACGGTTTTTTTTTTCGCTAATTCTTCAGGATACATCCTCTTTTTTGCTGAAGAAACTGCTCTTCTTTTTCTGTTATTAATTCTTAACTTATTTTGATCTCTGATGGTGGTAAAAAAATGACAGTTTTTTAACCCTCAAAATTGACAGTTATAAAAAAATTGAAAAAGATGAATAATAATTTCATGCACGCAAACCTTGTTCGTTGAAATAGGGACAGCGAAAAAGTTCGCTATGACAGGAAACTCGCATACATTTTTACTAATGTTTGCTGCCACAGCAAACTTCTTAGCTGTGGTAGCTAATTTTCAGAGATTTCACAGCAAACATCTGTTTACTGCTGTAGCTAATTTCTTTTTTTCCGTGATGTTATTATCGTAACCTTTTAATTTTCAGTTGCTTTTTTAAGAGCTAGTGCGAGCAATTATTGTTCCAGAATGTCAATTTGACATTTCAATTTGTTTTTGCATATGAAACACCAGTTTAAGTACGAATTTATTAAAAAAAATAATTTTCAAAAAACCCTTATAATATTAGTCGGGCCCTAGTAGGGCGCTCTAATATTTCGCTCAAATAGCCACCGAATAAAATGGTGTTTCGTTTCTGGCTGGGATCCAGCCAGAAGCCGGATAAGTGCCCAGGTTACGTCTGTGTTCACTTCCCATAACACGACTAGCGCCCAACTTTAACACGGGCTCCCCGGCCATGGCACGGCTAGCGCCCAGATTCAATTTCCACACGGGAATATCTTCATTTACCTGATTTGCATATATCTACTCTTTCATATAAGTATAAATGAATATAAATAAATAATAAATAAAAAAAGTGATAAAATTCATTGATGAAAAAAATGAAAGTTTATGAAGTTAATAAATAAAATGTTACACTCACCTACAACGTGTAAATAACCATATTGCGTTTTGGCAGTGACAGTGTTAATCTGGCACATGTATTTTCCCTTGTCGTCCTCTTGCACATCGTTGATATGAAGATACCACGTCCTGTGCTTATCGTGTGACACGGCTATCCTTGGGTTCCTCGTAATAACGTGGTTGTGTACCGTCAAAATAGCACTCTGATCGAAGAGCATCCAAGCCACCTGAAAGCATGAGACAATCGATCGTTCATCTCTAAATGTCACCTGGTCAAATAAGATCTAATCTTCTAAGAACAATACACGAGAAGATAGTGTACAACTTCTCATAATATTCAAATTCTCCATTATCTTTACAATATAATAGCTAACTAGTCCCACTTTCCTCCCGCTCCAAATTCAGTTTACAAACTTTCAAACCATTTTCCGTTTTATTTTCTCGAATTAGAAACAAAACAACTTTTTATGTTGCTTCCAGATTCTAGACTCGAGAAGAGTTCAATTGTTTTACTTGCAAAGTTTTATTGTTTGGAAAAAAATTTGAATATCTATTGAAATTAACATTTTTTTATAACATATATATATAAAGGTCAATTTTTCTTCCGTTGTTAAAGTTTATTACTCGATTATCAGAAGAGTAATAAATGAAACGTTATTTCATTAGTTGTGCAACGATTCGGTGTCTAGGTTTGACACCATCATTGAGTCACTTTATTAAACAATGAAATTATTTTTTAACCAAAAATGAAAAATTACGGACCAATAATTATTACTGACAAAAATATAAGCAGTCCTAGTCAAATAACAGAACATTTTACATAAAACTATAAATTCTCATAACTATAAAACATTGTACTTCTTCAAAATTATTTTCATTTTAATAAAATTATTATTTTCAAAAATTTTTAACTAAAATTCTTCTTTTAATCAATTATTTTTAATAATTTTCGAAAAAGTTCTTTGACAATTTTCAAATCCATTTATTTACAATATTCAATTTTACGAAATTTATTTCAATTATTCGTAAATTCTTCATTTAAAAAATAAATTATTTATAAAAATCCATACTATAATGCTTTTAATATTCGTCATTATTATTATCAAAAATTTTAACTGATAAATTCATTTTTAAGAGCATTTGAATCATAATGACGTCACAGTTTGAGCAAAGCATGTGTTTTAAAGCTGTGACGTCATGATGGTTCAAATGCCCTTAAATCAATTTTTATTAGAAAATTCTATTAGAATTCAAATATTTAAATATAAAAATAAACAATGTATTGAATTATTGAATGTTTCTTAAAATCTAATCCTCATAAAGAATTTTATCAACAAATTTTTAAATAATTAAATTCTTTAGACGAATTTTAATAAAATTCTGAATAATTACTTTTTCCAAAAGTTTAATTAAAATTGTATTAAAAATAATTGAAATTCTGCAATGAGTTTTATTATTTATGAAAATAATTGAATTTCTGCAATAATTTGTAACTTTAAAAAGTTCTTTGAGAATTTTCAAATTTATTTTATTACAATTCAATTTTACAAAATTTCAATTATTCAGATATTCTTCAATTAACTATATATTATTAGAAAATAAAAACTACAAAAAAATAATTTCAAGTAACATTCAAATAAACTTATTCAAAAAAATTAATTCTTCCACAGACATGATGGTTAAAAGTATATGAATAATTCAAACTTTCAAAGATTTTAATATGAAACCTTTTCAAATATTCAATATATTTCTAAAAATTCACGCTATAATGCTTTTAATATTCAATTATAATCTAAAATTTTAACTAAAATTCGTTTTTAAATCAGTTTTTATTAGAAAATTCAACTAGAATTCAATTATAGAATTTAATTACTGAATTAATATAAATAAAGAAACTATATAAAGTATAAATAAAAAAAATATACACGAAGAAAAATTTTCTGTTAATGATTACAATAGTCGAACAGTACTGCTCGGATATGTGACCACTTTTCGTAATGCCTAAAGTAGCTTCGTTGTAACAATTCTGTAAGTCGAACGTACTCATTAAAAATTTATTTGAAATAAATACGAACTAAATATAAGTGAGCACAAAGTCTATGTGACTGATTACAATAGTCTACGTTAAAAGGAAATCTTGAATTCTATCCACATTTGCAGCAATCTAAGGGAATCAGTGATACAGACTGTAGTAGCCTTTACAACAGGACTATTGTAAAATAAGGTGACCGGCTGCCTTACCTTCTTATTTTACAATAGTTCTTTGCAAAGACTACTATTGCTATATTTCTGATTACAAATGACTGTTGTAAAGTAAAAAAAGAAAATTTTCAACTAAAATAATTTTTTTTGTAATTCATAACTTTTAATCATATATTGCACATTAATTTCACTCATTCAAGACTCCCAACTTCAAGATTAATTATACTATTAACCTAGACAATTTTACTAAACCCTAAGTACACAAATCTAACTTAAATACTAAACGCATAACATAATAGCGATCGCTATTTACACATATTTATACATGACTTAAACTTCCTTATATACTAACTGCTATGCAAATTCACCGCTTGCGAGAAAGACTAATACACTTTCAATGTAAAAAAATCACTTCGTTCTCAATAATTAATACAATTATTATTCATTGTTAGTCTTTAATATTGTAAGGTCTATTTTTTATTACATTTCTATAGTAAAAAATTTTTTTTCTAACACACGCACCGAAGGTGCAAGATTTCTTGCCTGTATAAATTGTTATGTAATTTACACAACTTACGTAAGTTACGTAACTTACGCAATTTACGTAAGTAACAAAAGTAAGTTACATAAACAAGTAAGTTAACTTACGTAAATAATGTAAGTTACGTAAGTTGTACTTACATAAACAACTTAAGTTACGTAATGAACGGATTATTGTAAATTGCACTAATTAGGTAACTTACGTACTTCACGCAAGTCATGAATTACAAAAAAAATTTATTTTAGTTGAAAATTTTCTTTTTTTTTACTTTACAACAGTCATTTGTAATCAGAAATATAGCAATAGTAGTCTTTGCAAAGAACTATTGTAAAATAAGAAGGCAAGGCAGCCGGTCACCTTATTTTACAATAGTCCTGTTGTAAAGGCTACTTTCAGTCTGTATCACTGATTTCCTTAGACCGCTGCAAATGTGAACAGAATCCAAGATTTCCTTTTAACGTAGACTATTGTAATTATAACAAGTCTCTGCGTGAATGAGTACAGTTTCCTTTCTGAACCTGTACATCTTAATTATTAATGATTCCAAAAAATAAATTTCAACACGATTAATACAGTGTTTGGATTCATTAAAGTAACTATAGTAATCGCTCCTACTAAATTCTTAATAAATTACATAGTTTTCGTAATCATTACAAAAAGTGGTCACATATCCGAGCTGTATAATATAGACTATTGTAATCATTATGAAAGAAATTTTCTCCGTGTAAATTAAACAATAAATACGTGAAGTAATAACATTTTTTTCTCCTTGTAGGAAGTCAACTTAGGTACGTACAAAAAAGAATTCTTTTATTAATTCATCAAGACTCTTTGATAAATAAAGTACGAAAATTGTGTCTTAAAAAATTCAGAACACAATTCTCAATTGTTTCAGGCAATATTTTATGCACTAATGCTTGGGCGAGATTAATTTTTACAAAATGAAAAAAGGAAATAAAATTTCTTCGTCTTTTTCACAAACGAAAAAGAGCCAATGTAGTGTAAAGAAATGTATTATCGGGTGTGCGATAAAATTGGAAAGAACTAGAAAAAGGACATGTTACATAGAAAAGAAAGTGAAAATCTCCGCGAGCGCGCGCGCACAAGCACTCGTGGAAGCAGATAAATAGAGAGATGGCGAAAAGGCGCAAGGAGTAAATGGCAGAAAGATGGATAGGCAACTACAAAGAGAAGAAAAGAGATAATAAGATCAGTGGCGGAAGATAAGAAATAAAGAAGAAAAGAGGGAGCTATGGGGTGAAAATTCGTTACATCAAAAGTGCAATCGTACGTTTGACCCCTGGGGTATACTATTCCTCGAAACCTATGATCTACAACACCCTCGAAACATTATCCGATCAATGGAAGTTTCAAAGTTATGGATATTCATTCCATAAATTAATCATTCGGGATTTTATATTCTTTGCAAAATTTTTTATTATCGAAACACAAAGTTAAATTTTTAATCAAAAAATGAATTTTTTTATTAAATTTTTTTATTTACTTACTAATGATATGTTTTTTTTATAAATAAATTGGGAAATAATAATAAAATTAAATTAAAAAATAAATCAATCAACATATTAAAAATAAATAAAATTGAAAAACAAATAATTAAATATTTTTCTTACTTTGAAAATAATCAGAAATTATTATAATAAATTGACTTTAAAGATGTACGTGCACGTTTTTTAGAAATTAGAAAACACACTTTTTTTTATATATGAGGCATTTTACGTGAAATGTCCTAAGTTGAAATTTCAACTTCTTGAAAAAAATTGAAACTCGGGGAATTTGTTGTTCTATCAAGTAGAAATGTGACCCAAAAAATATTTTTGATTTTTTCGAAAAATTGGAGGGGGTAGAGGGGGGTCAATTTGACCAATTTTTCCAACACCGGCTACTTTGTGAATTTTTTCTGAACATACTTCTAATAGGAAAAATTTTTTAGAATATGTTTCTGAAAGGTTTTTTCGTCCTCTTTCCAATGGTGAATTTTATTTTTTAATATTTTAAAAATTTACCCTAATTTTTGATAATTAATATTTAATTTTCAATTTCCCAAAAATCGGTCCGTTCACGCAAACACTCAGAAAAAAATTTGTTCGAAACAACCAAATTTTGGTTGAATAAAACCAAATAAATGCATTGCTATACAGTCAACCAAACGTTTGTTTGATTCAACCAAAAAATTTCTTCTAATACGTTTATTTGTATTAACCAAATGGTTATTACACTTAACCAAAAAATTTTATTTAATATAACTAAAAACTTTGTTTATTTCAAGAGAAAAGATTTGTTTGATTCAAATAAATAGTTTTAGTAAACGTATTTGGTTCATTTAAATAAATATTTTTGTTTACTTAATTTTGTTATTTATTTTCCTCTAATAATATTTGAATTTCCTAATTTAATATTTTCTAGTACATATTATTGGTTAATTTATAATTTATTATATAATTATTGATATTTTAAAATTATACA